CAGACTAGCAAACTTGGTCCCTTTTTTCTAAAATGATTTTGAGTTTTGTTCCACATTGTTCTCCCTCTCTATCCAGGATCTCCTACATAGATCCCCTCCAAGTGGTTGACAGTGGTTAGCTGGGCACCATCTAGTTCTTCTAGTCTCACATTGGATGGTGGTGATATATCTTTTTAAGATTTCTTAAGCAATACAATGAAAACAATTTTTACCTAACAAGACTCTTTCTTCTCTTAGGAGCTAATGCTCTTGGTCAGGCCTCTGATTCTTCTTCCATCTTACTTGAAGCTGCTAGTGGAGGAAATCCAGACTCAGTGTCTCTCCTGCTTGAGTATGGAGCTGATGCCAACATCCCTAAGAATTCAGGCCACCTGCCCATTCATGTGGCAGCTGATAGAGGCCACTTATTGTAAGTTCACCTATGTTACTGTAACCAATAGAAATAGTAATAGCTACTTTTAAAAGAGCAACTCCTATGAAACAGCGATAGCTACTATTTTTGAGCAGCTCCTATAAACTTTATGTTCTTCACCTTTGATCCTACCAGCCCCATACCCATTTTAATGATAAGGAAATTTGACCAGCTAGAAAGCAGTGAAGCCAGAAATCCTCTGCAGCCACAGAAGAGACCTAAAGCCGTTGCTTTATGAGGTCCTTAGGCAACGTGGAGAGCCTCAGGTCTCAACTGAAAAAAAAAAAAAACTAGCTACACTCAACTAGCTGGGCTAATTCTGAATTTTATAACCCAAACAGTAGTTCCATTCAGACGTAGTTTCAAAGTTTTTGCATGTAGCAATTGTACCTTTTTGTTGGAGATTCTACATGAAACTACTTCATACTAATACCATCCAGTGCTAGTATAAAACAATCATAAACAGGTTAATGCTGCATCCTAACAAAAATTATTTTGAAATGTGCTTTGAATTCTTTCTCAGAGCTCTGAAGATTTTGGTTCCTGTTACGGATTCTGCTGCCATTAAGCAAAGTGGGATTAGTCCACTTCACTGTGCAGCAGCAGGGGCACACCATCAATGCCTGGAACTTCTCATCCAGGCTGGATTTGATGTGAATTCCATGCTAGATCAGATAATAAGTAAACACTATGACGATCAAAGGAAATCACCTTTGTATTTTGCTGTATCAAATGGTGACCTCTCTTCAGTTAAGCTACTTCTGAATGCTGGTGCTCTACCTAATCAAGACCCAGTTAACTGCCTCCAGATAGCCCTGCGGATGGGCAACTATGAACTGATAAATCTGCTGCTTCGACATGGGGCCAATGTTAATTACTTCTGCCGAGTCAACCCTTTACATTTCCCATCAGCACTGCAATACACCCTGAAAGATGAAGTCATGCTCAGGATGCTGTTGAATTATGGGTATGATGCTGAGCGATGTTTTGATTGTCCTCATGGAGACAAAGTTCAACCTAGACATGTTTTTGAAGGCTGGACACCAGCAGTTATCAAAGATACTATGGTAAGTTCACACTTTGGGTTGTATGTCCTTATGCAGTCAGTATCAGTGACCCTGGAACTATAGCAGTAAGACTCCACCCACACGCTCCAGAAACTCATGGTTGGGTCCTATATGATAAAGTGTTACATAATAAAGTAATTCAAATATGATAAGCAATAAAGAGAGATTTTAAAAACACAAAAACAGTTCAGAGGAGAAAGGGATTTAACTCTACATGGAGACATCAGGGAGTTTCGTAAATGAAGAAACACCTGAGCCAAGATTTTGAAGAATGAAGTCTTATGTACCAGTTACGTTTTTCTCTGTACTTCTAACCTTTTGCATATCTCTTTCAGCTTTCCTCAAAGAGACCCTTCCCTATCTACCTTAGCACAAGTAGTTCCCTTCCCTCAGTTATTATCATGCTGTTCATCTTTACAGCATTATCACTACCTGAAGTTAAACTTTTTCTTATTTTGTATTTCTCCAAGTACATACATGTAAGCTTTTGGTTATCACTTCTTCAGCTTACATATTTGTGCTAGCACACAGTAGATGCTCTATGAATACCTGAATTTATGAGTATCAAAATTTGAAAATAGGTATGAAGTGGTGAATTGGGGAAAGTACTTGGAATCATTTCTGAAAATTGAAAGGCAAAAATATTGTTGCTATTTTAATAATGCATGATTTATTATTTTTAGGTTAGAGTAATACATGACTTACTTTCCACAATACTAACTTGGCATTTAGGCATATATCATCCTGTATTATTTCCTAGCTTTTAATACATTATTACTTAACTTCTCATGTAGTATTCTAAAAGAATGTAAACTACTTAAAGGCAGAAACATTTATCTCATGTATGGGTGAGATTAGGTGTAATTCTGAGTGATAGAAACCCAAAATAAGAGTGGTTTTAACAAAAAGAGACCAGGTTTGCTGGTCTGAAAGAGCCCAATGGAACCACTGAGACCATGACCCTAGCTGCCCTTCAGGTCTGGAATTGAACCCATACCTGTGGCTTCCAGCCCAACAAAAGAGAGGCAGATGAGCTGACATTTACATTAGGTAGATACACTCCTTGGAGAGATCAATCATGGGAGAATAGAAGGGCTGTGTATGCACAGGGAGACAGCTCAGGGGGCAGGAGTGCATGGAGGGAAGAGGTAACTATGGGGAGGAAGTGGGAAGGGAGCTGGTGCATTGTGGTAAATTGTAGTTAATGTCATGAGACAAAGTGTATGTGAATTGCTGTATGGAAAGTGAATTTGCATTGTAAACTTTCACCCAAATGACAATTTAAAAAAAAAAAAACGTTGACAAAGGGCTGAAAAAAAAAATGGTTTTAACAAGATGGTTCATTCCCCTCTCACATAGAAGTCGGGAGGTAAATAGCCTTCTACTTGGATGGCTTTGTGATTCCCAGGAGGGACTCAAATCTACACTCTAGTCAGTAGGAAGGAGGGTGGGAGCAAACTGCATGCACTTTGCTTTTCTTTAACCACATCCTGTGTGCCAGCAGCATCAGCAGGGCTGGTGTCACGCCCCGTCCCATGGACTGTGTGTCATACAGAATCCTTAGTAATGTTTATTATCAACTTTAATCATAGAATAATATGTGCTGTAGTTATAAATTGCTTAAATGTAATATTCCTTAGATTATATGAATACTAACAAAATTGTCTTGTAAAGCCTTTCCATAAAAAACTAAAAACACACTGCTATTGATTCGACTCATAACAACCCCGTTTCCATAGCAGTATCTCTACAGAAGTAGATTGTCCGGTCTTCCTTCCGAGCAGTGGCTGGTGGGTCTGAACCACCAGCCTTCTCGTTGGCAGTCAAATGCCTTAGGCACTATGCCACATTATTAGTTAAAACATTATTAGTATTAGTTATTAGTAACTGAGTGGAAGCCTTTTCTATTTTTCTCCTTTTCCTTTACTTCCTACTTCATTCTCAAAAATTATTGATACAGTTTCACTAATACTAATATGGTAGCTAAAACACTAGAATATTTGACAAAATCAGCAACTATAAATATACCAGCAGCAACAGATACAACCACATGCAGATGAAACCATGTGCTTATGAAGCATCATTGTAATTGGGTAATGACAGCTCTGAGCCCATTAGAAGGTTCAAAAAGTAAATTAGCATAGAGTTTTAGCCTTGGAGGTATACTGATATATGTCAATTAGGCTTTTTGTTTTGTTATTGTAACTAACTACAGGGATACTTTTATAAAAGATAATTTTTTGCTGAATACTGCACAAAATTTTTATAAACAGTCATTTTGGTGTCACCTTGACAATGTCAACTAGTGCAGTCCCAACCCTCCTAGTGATGCTACTGCTGTGAGCTGCTCATACTTCCACTTACATCTCCTTGGCCATAACTGACTCACATGGCCACACCTAGATGCAAGTAATACTGGGTATGTAATCTACTCCAGACAACCCTGTGTACAACCAAAGGAGCTAACAGACATCATGCAACAGTCTCTGTCACACCTTCATTACTTCTTACATAGTTCTGAAGAACACAGTATCTATCTTTATAAATTTTAGACCTAAGAGAGAGATTTTATTCTTTGCCTCGGTTTAAAAATGAGAAGCCTGAGACCTTGGTTCTTGTGTTTATTCTGGCAAACTATAGATACTTAATCACAGTTCTGATTCTCTTCCCCAGTTCTGTGAAGTAATAACTTTGTCTTGGCTGCAACATCTTTCCGGAAAGGTTGTTCGTGTGATGCTTGATTATGTCGATCAAGTTCGGATCTGTTCAAAGTTGAAAGCTGTGCTCCAAAAACAGGGGCTCTGGTCAGAAATCAACCTTATATTAAGTAAGTATCTTTCTTTCTTGGAGAAGATGCTTACCAGAAATACTACTTGTATTCTTTAAAAAAAAAAAAAAAAATTGTGATTTGGGTGAAAATTTAGAGAGCAAATAAATGCATTTTCAATATAGCAGTTTGTACACATTTTGTTTCATGACATTGACTGCAATTCCCCACAATGTAACAGCTCTCTTCCCACTTCTTCCCTGTAGTTACCTCTTCCCTGTGTCCTCCTTTCCTATGCGTTCCTGGATCTGCCCTTCCCCCCCTACACACACACACACACACACACACACAGAGCCATCTCTCTGTGCAAACACTGCCCTTCTGTTCTCCCATGATCAATTGCTCTAGGGAGTTTATCTACCTGATGTAAATGTTCACCTGCTATGCCAGTCTGTCACAGGAGTGTGTTCAGTTCAAGACCTGAAGAGTAACTAGTGGCCATAGCCTCGGGGGTCTCACCAGGCTCTATCAGACCAGCAAATCTGATCTTTTTTTGTTTGTTTTCAATGGTTTTGAGTTTTGTTGTACATTGTTCTACTCTATCCAGGATCTCCTGCACTGATCCCTTTCCAAGTGGTAGCCAGGCACCATCTAGTTCTTCTGGTGTCATGGTCATACAGGCTGAGGCTCGCATGGTTTACTAGTCTCTTAGACTAATTGTTTCCATGCATCTTTGGTTTTCTTTCTTCTTCTTTGCTCGGGACAAGGAGAGAGACCCATTGTTGCATCTAGATGGCCGCTTGCAAGCTTTTAAAGACTCTAGTCATTACTCACCAAAGTAGAACGTAGAACAATGTTTTTTTATAGTATCTTATGCCAGTTGAGCTTGATGGCCCCTGTGACCAAGGTCCTGAGCCTTGGACTCACAGGTCCAACTATTCGCTCCCTCAGGATGGCTGCCTATGGCCAAGCAGCTAACATAACTTTGCCCATGTTAGCTCTATTATGTATTTGGACATTGTTACAGCACATACAAATACGTATGTAGAAATATCGTCTGACAACCTTATATATGGTCATGGGTATATTCCCTTTTGCCTAGACATATCTGATCATTCAGCCTCTCTACCCATCTATTTACCCATAGATTAATGTTTGTTATCATTGCTGGCAATGCAATACTGTGTATGTAAAAGGGTTAATCTTTGTTGTCTGTACCTCTTGTGCACCTCTGTGTATCTTCCTTTTCCTCAGTGCCACTCACTTTGGATACATTGCCCTGCCCTTCAACCAAATCAATACTTGTCTCTACCTGTCTAGCAGTGTTTCCTCCTTCTTGTATTTTCATTTGTTTCGATGAAAGCTTTTCTCTTCTGGTCAATAGCTTAACCAAAAGGAACCAAGAAAAATGCTAATCCTAACTAGAAAATGTTACTGTTTATAATAACAATTTGTACTTATCATTTCCCAATAGATAAAATATGTTAGGTCACCACTTATTATACAGGTAGGTTGTACTTTTCTCCTAATCCACCTAAACCATGACTATGAAGGGCTACTATAGATACAGGAATTAAAAGCTATGAGTGGCAACCAAAAGTAATGAGAAAAAGCTAAGACCTAAGCCTGTTGTTATTGTTGTTATGTGCCGTCAAGTCGGACCCGACTCATAGCAATCCCTCCTTAGGTTTCCGAGGCAGTTATCACTACAGAAGTAGATTGCCCAACCTTCCATCCGAGGAGTGGCTGGTGAGTTTGAACCACCAACCTTCTGGTTATTCTGGTTAGCAGTCAAATGCCTTGGGCACTACGCTACCAGAGCTCCCCCTAAGCCTGTAGCGGTATTAAAACATATCCTTCTCCAAAACGAATTCTTTCATGTTAGCATATAAATTAAGAAATTATTTCATCTAATTTCCCCCTGAAAGGTGATCTTCAGCTTTTAGACTACAATAAGGAGCTCTGGTAGCATAGTGCCTAAGGCACCTGACTGCTAACCAGAAGGCTGGCGGTTCAAACCCAGCAGCCACTCCTCAGAAGGAAGGTTGGGCAGTCTACTTCCGTAGTGATACTGCCTCAGGAAACCCAAGGAGGGGTCGCTATGAGTCGGGGCCAACTCGATGGCATATAACAACAAACAACAAGGGTCAGAGAGGGAGTTTAAAACATGATTTAAGGTCTCATACACCAGAACTACAATAATGCCATTCACTGGACTCTTGACTTGGTGATGAAACCGTATCTACAAGAAGGGTTTAAGAACTGAAACGTATCCCTGTGGACGTTCCCATTTAGTCACAACAAATGAAAAAGTCTTGGCGGCCTAAGTATAAAATATATTTGCTAAATGAACCCTAAGATCACTCAAAAATAAAGCAATTCTTTTTCTATTTGTGTAATGTGCCTGTTTCTTTCATTTTAGCAAACCCTCGCTCCCTAAAACATTTGTGCCGCCTGAAGATCCGGAAATGTATGGGACGTTTACACTTACGCTGCCCTGTCTTCATGTCATTTCTTCCGTTACCCAATCGTCTAAAAGCGTATGTCCTCTACAAAGAATATGACCTTTATGAACAAGGAATTTTCACAGGAACCTGGTAATCAAACTATTCTAGAGAAAAAGGTATAAACCTGCAACTGTATTTCTTGAAATTCGTCTTGTTTTACCCAACAACTAAAATCTCAGTGCAATATATAGATTCTTTGAAAAGTCGCTCTAAACACAGCCTCTCAATATACAGACGAAATTCTGAAGGCTTAAAAAAATAAAGCCCAAATTGTAAAAATTTAAATTAACTGGAATAAGTCAGTCTAATTATGTATTGATCTTATACTAAGTAGATGGAATGGGTATATATTCACCCCAGTATATTACCCAGAAGTTAAATGATTTTCTGCAAAAGTCCAGATGCCATTTTAGTGTCTGATACTGTTTTCTTCCAGGTCAAATACTGAGATGGGGATAATTCAGTTCATTGAAATAGGTCCTTCATTTGAACTTTCATCATTAACAGACACATGTCTCTTCTTTCCACAGTACCCTGGCTATGAGTTCCATTTATTGGTTAACCTGGGTACTGAAATGGAAATTGAAAGTGTTTTCAAGTGGATGTTATCTTAAGGTTTTCATGAACAACAATGACACTAACACAGAACTGGACCTATAGGAGGGGCCCACTGACAGAAGCGAGGCTGTAAATCCTTACAGAAGCAGACTACCTCATCTTTCTCCCAGGGAGAGGCTGGTGGGTTCAAACTATGGACCTTTTGGTTAGCAGCTGATGCTTTAACTACTGCATCACTAAAGCTCTTCTTGTAATGGGTAATATGTAATTACAGTGTCATAACAGATTAAGAAAAAAGTCTAGTTCTTTCACAAACATCATTTGAAATTACTTGGGGAAATAAAATTCATTGTATATACTGAATAGCTCATACAAAAAAAGACTGTACAAAAATCATGGATTTTATTATATATTAAAAAATCTTCTACCAGCATATTTCCAGAAGCCTTGTCAGCAAATACCTATTTTAACAAAATGAGAAAATAAGGCCTCCTCCGCACATATAATGTACCACCATTATAGAAAGAGATAAGTTCTTCAAATCCAAGCCTAGAGGGAAATGCTGCATGATTTTTAATTGTGTGCTGCATGGTTAACAGTATTTATTAGGGAAATAAGAATGAACCAATTCATTTACATTACAAATCACAGAATAGACAAAGCAGTTTTGCATATTAGTCATAACTTAGTCCTCAGTTCTCATTCTGACTTAAGTAAATTACATAAGTACAGCCACAAGAAAATGGTTAAAAACTATACTTCCAGTTTCAAATCTTTATGTATTATTATTAATTGATGTAGAATAAAATCTTGTGAAAGAAGAGTAAGGTAAATTTGCTAAAAATAAATGAAGGGTGTGTTACAATGGGTTTGCCTGAATATCTGAAATACAGTTTGAATGCTAGGAGGTTTTTGTCAAATCCAACATTATTAGTTCATTTTATTAATTCAGGCAGCAAGTTCTTAGCTTAGACTTTGTCAGCATTTGTTTTAAGATTCAAATTTTAAATATTCATGGTTCCTAGATGTAACTACAAATTTAACACAAAGGCTGTTACCACATAAAAGAATATGTTGCATAGGATTTTATTCACATCATACTGTTTTTTCCTCAAACATGTAAATAACAAAAAAAAAAAAAAAGAAAAAAAAAATTTAAACCCTTAGATTGTGGAGCCTGAGAATTCTTAAAATTAAAGTAACCATTGCAGACATTGGCAAAAACTAGACTGGCTTTGAGGACTCTTTTCAAGGTAACAGTTCCAATCCCTTGTTAGCAATTTTTTTTTTTTTTTTTTTTTACAGTTTTATGAGAGAGAAGAGTAAGTGGTTTCCTACTTACTGACTCTATTACTATAGTTACAAAAGTCTGTTCATATAGGTAACAGAGTGCATAATAGAGTTAGGCAGACATAATTTCTTTTAAAGAATAGTTTGTTAACATCAAAAATCATTAAATATAAATTTAAACCTGAGAAAGATAATCCCAAAACTTAGTCCCATCATTACCAAAGCATCTCAAAGCTGGGAAGGATTTCAGAGGAAGATAATAGATCAAGATCAGCTTTATTATTGGGAAGCCTTCTTTAAGCAAAAGAGAGCTTATTAAAGTTGATGCTTTAATATCTGTATTAATAAAATAGTGCAGCAACTGTTAAATCTATAACATGACTTCTATTTGGCATTGAAATTCATGTGGGTCTGACCTTTGGACATGGGTCTGTTACTGTGGAAATTCCTACGAAAAACACGACTTGAAAGAACTACAGCCTGTCCAGCATCCCTAAGTCACCTAGTACCTTTAACTCTAGCCTACACTTTGACCCACACTGCTACAAAGGGCAGCACACGTGGCTACCAGGCGAAGCAGCAGCCTAGTTAAACTGCTTCCTAATGCTGACCTTCCTTGTAGGGCAGCAGATTTCATCTGAACTAAGTGAGGGAACAACTTACACTATAAATAAGACTTTATGAAACACAAAGTTTACTAACTCTCAAAAAAAAAAGGTCTTAAAAGCAGGACCTGACATGACCAATCAAGTGCTGACCACAGAATAAACTTTAACAAAAGGAATGATACACAAACTATTGTTAAAGCATTCCCTTTAGTAAGCACAAAACAAACTTTTCAAAAAGTACTCCATAAATTTCCATTTTTAACTGTAAGTTTTGGTGACATAAGGCTTCAAAGAAAAATAATCAGTATTTCCATTTGGCACACGGGTAAAAGAATATCATGATCCTATATATATCTATCATCCATCCCATTCCTGCAGAAACAGTATACACACATACACAGTGTGCAACAGCCAAGCTATATTGTGAAAACTAAAACAGAAGCCATTTCTAATTCAGAACTAAGAAAAAGCTGTATATCAAAGAACTTTCCCCTTGTGAAATTAGTCTTACTAGCTAAATTCTTGAAAACATGTAAGTTCATCTAAAATATTTTACTCAATATATGTAACTTGTCTATATATACTTTTCATGTGTAATACATGAACACAGCTTCTATCAGCAATGTTAAAAATCTGATAAAAGGAATCAAGTTCCAACATAAAAGATAAGCAATAGAGAAATGTCACTTTAACCTTGGCACCAGGCTAAAATCCTTCCTTGGTCAACTCTCCTATACTATGCCAGGCATTCAATTTCTTTTCAGCCTTTCACAGAATTAAACATTTTATTCATCTGAAGAGTAGAAGTAGTTATGATAATTAGTGCAAATTATTCCATTCTCATACATTAACTATTTGTCTTTGTGGATATAAAGTAGTGATTTATCAAAATATGGGATTATGAAAATATTGAGGGTTTATCAGTCTAGAATTTAAAAGATCACATTTTCTAAACTCTGGGAATTACTTTAAGCAGGAAACATAATTGTTACAGAACTTCTTTTGAAAGCTGCTTGATTTATCAATAAAAACTATTTCATGCAATGCAGAAAATACAATGTACCATCTTGTAATAATATTTTTATATCTAAATCCTATTGTAAGACTTACTTGAACAACAAAAAAAAATGTCTTTTAATAAATTTCAAATCTTACTTTAACCATTACTGCTCTGCAGCAATACTTCAAGGTCCAACCTGAGAACAAAGAACATGGTAAGAAAATGCCCAGGGCTGTATCCATCTTGAACTGAAGACACTTAAGCATCTTTCCCACTGGTGTCAACGTGTAATACATCAGAAAAATTTGAGCAATCCAAGAAAGTGCCCTGAAGTTAAACAACCTGCCATGATTTGAAACCTTAAGTCTATATTCTCTGTTCTAATTATTTTATAAGTTCCATTGCACATTTACTATAGTTATAATATTTGCAAACATGTAAAACACTCTATATGAAGGGTTTTGAACCTGTTCAGTCCAAAGCTTCCTCACTGCCTGCAAAATGTTACTAATGCAACAGAGGGAGCAAACCACAAATATCTGAAGCCAAAGAACACATGATTTCTTACGGTCAGACCAATTACAAAACAAGCTTAAAAGTTCACAATTTGAAGGATAAAAGTCTTGAGCAAGTGTAATTGCTCAGCAATCTACTTTAGGGAAATGAGCAGGTTTCTTTTAGACATGTAGAATTTGATGTTACTGCACAGTACGTAATTTTTATGGGAAAAGAAACCTAAATCAAAAGTTCAATTACTTTAAAAGATGAAACTAAAACAAACAAGCAAATATAAAGCTCAGTCTTTCCTTGATATTTCAACATAGTTGTTACCTTGTGCCATTTCACCACAGAAATTGTCAATAAATTCAAGGGGAGAGGGGTATGCGTATTTAACCAAAAAGCAAGGGTAAGTTTATGCTTCTGACTCTCTCTTCTTTCCTTCTTCACCCAAATCACTTTCTTCTGACTGGCTACTGCTCAGGACAACAAACTGCCCCTCAATACTGGCTTGGTTTGGTCTACTGGAAGCAGCTATTAACCGACTTTGTTCTTCTAAATCCTAGTAGAACAGTGGAGGGGAGAGAGAGAGGAAAAAAAAAAAAAAAAAGCTAAGTTTATTGTTGGTAGTCAAACAGAAAACTGTGCAGTTAAAATACTTATCTGAGAGTCACTTCAATCTTTTCTGTCATAAATCTATATGCCTAATTCCCGCAACTTGCTGAAAAAAGGCTATATCCAACCAAAGGAACACCAATGTGGATTCTGGCACTGTTCTAGAAACACTATAAAAGCCAATATCAAACTAAAATCTCAGTTGTTTTCCTCTATTCCATTTCCATAACCAACGACCAAGTTCATATACTACTGATCACCCCAACCCCTCTTGCTAAATCCATTGTCACCTTTCCTTAGCCTAGACTTTTTTTTTTTCCCCCCATGCTTCTGAAATGTACTTATTTTTTTTTTTATTTTGATTTGGGTGAAGATTTACAGAGAAAATTCACTTTCCATACAGCAGTTCACATATACTTTGTCTCATGTCATTGACCACAGTTTACCACAACGCAACAGCTCCCCTCCCACTTCCT